CTCTTTTTTGCCATTCCCAGCTGCTCCTCCCGGTGCCGACGGCGTTTCCAACAAACACCAAATCGCTGCAGCCAATCGTGGGGGGGCACCGGGCAGTGGGACGGATTGGGGGCGGGACACAAGAAATAAATAGCGCTGCAACAGCGTGGAAATACGATACAAAAAACGGCCAAAAAGCAAAATCATAACGCGAATCATTCAACCCCCAAAGCTTGTGGGGAACCCAGCGACGCGTCGACGTGGAGGCGGGGAAGAGGCGAATTCTTGGCTTCGGTTTTGCCACGGAGAATCCATGGAGTCGGGGCCGGGAGCCCGGAAAGGGAATCGATGCGGGGTTACAGAGCGGGGCAGGCGACCTGGTGCCGGATGCCTTCGTTGCAGAGCAGCGCGGCCGCGCGCTCGTCGCCGTCGCCGTGTTGGCACTGCATGTAGCTGATGCCGTGGGGCGAATAGGGGTGGGCGCAGACGTTGCAGGTGCGGGTCATGGTGCCACCCGTGCTGCTCCTGAGGGGAGGGGGGAGGCACAGAGAGCCCCCCCCGGGGGCAGACGTCAGAACCCAGGGCTGCCCAGAGGTGTTTGGTGGCTCCCGTCGGGGCCATCGGCGCTCGGTTGGAGCCCCTCGGTGGCACCAAAGGATGCCGTCGGCTCTTGGTCGCATCCCATCGGTGGCAGCCATCGGTGCCATGAGAACTCGGTGGCTCCTATTGGTGCCATCAGCTCTTGGCTGGACCCACCTGGTGGCACCTATCAGTGCCATTAGGACTTGGTGGCTCCCATCGGGGCCATCAGCTCTTGGTTGGACCCACCTGGTGGCATCCATTGCTGCCATCAGATCTCAGTTGGGTCCCATTGGTGGCACCCATCAGTGCCATCAGCTCTTGGTTGGGTCCCCTTGGTGGCAGCCATCAGTGCCATGAGCGCTTGGTGGCACACATCGTCCCCCATCACTCCTCATCAGCGCTTGGTGGCCCCTCCAGCAGCGCCCGTTGGCACCCACCCCCCCCCAGCAGCACCCATTCTGGGTGGCCCCCAGAGGTGACGCGTGGTGGCCATGCATACAATAGTGGCACCCATTGCTCCCCAGTGGCACCCGGTGCCGCCCATGGGCTCGGCGCCCATTGGTACCCACCCCACAGAGCCCCACAGAGCCCCACATCCACCCCCACCCTCGTCCCCCCGCCCCTCACCTGCACTCGCTGCAGCTCCGCTGGCACTCCTTCCTGCGGTAGCGGCACATCAGGGCCCCGATCAGCAGCCCCAGGAGGCTGAGCAGCAGCAAGGAGCCCAGGACGGAGCCCACGATGACTCCCGCCTGGCGGCCGCCTCCTGCAGGGACAAACAGCTGTCACCGTCACCGTCGCCCCACAGGGACCCCCGGAGCCCCCCGGCGGCACTCACTCTGTGCGGGGCTGAGGCTGATCTGGCACGTGGCGTAGCCCACGCGGTTGGTGACCCGGCATTGGTAGACACCAGAGTGAGCCTCCGAAAGGCTGCGGATCAGGAGGTCACCGGGAGCACGGCCTGAAGGGAGGGGGATGGAGTGAGTGTGGGGACAGGGGGACAGGGGTGCGGGGGTGTGGGGACACACATGGGGACAAGCATGGGGATATGGGGATATGGGGGTATGGGGACACGCATGGGGACAGACGTGGGGACATGAGGACACACATGCAGACATGGGGGTACACGGGTGTGGGGACACACATGGGGACAAACATGAGGATATAGGGATATACATGGGGATATGGGGGCATGGGGACACGCATGGGGACACACATGGGGACAAGCATGGGGATATAGGGATATATATGGGGATATGGGGGTATGGGGACAGATGTGGGGATTTACATGGGGACATGAGGACATAGAGGGGGACATGGGGATACAGGGGTGTGGGGACACACATGGGGACAAACATGGGGATATGGGATGCAGGGGGACAGGGAGTGAAGGGGATATGGAACATGGGGACACAGGGATAGGGGTGTGGGGACATGGGGACATGCAAGGGGATGGACATGGGGACATGGAGTGCAGGGATATGGGGACATGGGGACACAGAGTGGGGGGATATGGAACACGGGACGTGGGGACGTACAGGGGGACCTGGGAGCAGGGAAAAGGGGGCACAGGGGTAGGGGGACATGGGGTGCTTGGGAACATGGAGACACAGGATGCAGGGACATGGGGACACACAGACATGGGGACACACAGATGTGGGTGTGTGAGGACACTGCTGGTGGATTTGGGAGCACACAGACAGGAGCACACGTGGACACGGGTGGCCGTGAGCACAGGAGCACGGATGTGAGCGCAGACACGGGCAGAGCACGAGAGCGTCTGCACCACCTCCATCCACAGCCGTGGTGCACATGGACACGGGGACACACGGACATGGGGACACACAGACATGGGGACACACAGACACAGGGACGTGTGGATGGGGGCACCGCTGGACACCCACGGACACACAGACACAGGGCTGAGCCCACCAGACGAGCGCGGCTGGGGGCGAATGTGGTCACAGCTGCACACAACACGAGCCTCTCACCCCCTGCCACCCCCCGGGAGCCCCCAGCACCCACCTTGGATGGTTCCTTGGGGCAGCCGTCCTCCTCCATACCCATCTGCCAGCTTGGCCCACTGGTAGGCCAGCGGCGCGGCCCCTCCGCGGCTGTAGCAGCGCAGCAAAATGCTGCCGCCCTGCACCTGATCTCCTTCAGTCCAGCACTGCGGGGCGGCCGGCTTCTCTGCGGGGCGAGGGGCAGCGTCACCACCAGGGGTGCGGGCACCACCGGGGCCATTGGCGCCACCGGGGATGCGGTCATCACAGGGGACGCGGTCATTAGCGGGGGCATCGTCATCACCTGCGCCACCATCACCACCAGGGACAGGGTCACCACCGAGGTTGCGGCCACCGCACGGGGCGCTGCCACCACCACCGGGGCCACCGCCACCATTAGGGATTGCTGTCCCGACCGGCAGGGACACCGACTGCGGGCATTGTCACCGCCAGGGTCACAGACACCAGCACCAGGGTCGTGGTCACCACCAGGGACATTGACACCACCACAGTCAAGGTCTCCTTTGGGGCCACCATCACCACCAGGGCCACCGTCACCTCTAGAGCCACCGCCACCACTCAGGACATCGACACCATCAGTGCCACCGCTCCCATCGTGGACACGGTCACCAGCTGGGACAATGCCACCACCACAGAGGGACACGGCCACCTTCAGGGCCACCACCACCTCTATGGCCACCACCAGGGACACTGACTCTCCACGGAGGGACGTCGGTGTCGCCACCACACAGCGGCACCATCCAGCAGGGGGACGGGGGTCTCACCTTGCACGGTGACGATGACCTCGTGCACGGCCACCGTGTTCTTCTTGACGCGGCACTGGTAGGTGCCGGTGTCGGAGACCTGCAGGTCTGCCAGGCGGATGGAGGCGTCGTGCTGCCCGGGGTCGTTCTGCACAAAGGCCACGCGGTCCTGCAGCCCCGAACCGCTGCCGTAGTTGACGTGGTGGTCGTGGTAGGAAAGGAACTGGATGGGGTGGAACGGGGGGTGAGAAGGGGCTGCTGCATCCCCGGGTGTCCCTGCGTCCTTCCTGCATCCCTCCTGCTCCATCTCTCCTCATCCCTTTGTCCTGCCCCACATCTGCTCCTCCATCTTGCTTTGTCCCATCCTTCCTTGTCCCATCCTATCCCACAGTATCCCATGCTATCTCATCCATCCCATCCCATCCCATCCCATCCCACCCCATCCCATCCCATCCCATCCCATCCCACCCCATCCCATCCCATCCCATCCCATCCCATCCCATCCCATCCCATCCCATCCCATCCCATCCCATCCCATCCCATCCCATCTCATCCCATCCCATCCCATCCCTCCTGCCCCATCCCTCCTCCATCCCTCCCCATTCTTTCTCCATCCCCCCCTCCACCCCACAGGACGGAGCCATCTCAGTGACCCCACACCGGGTGCCCCACACTCACCACATTTTCGGGGCCGGTTCTCTCAGGTGTGATCTGGATCCACTCAATTCCCACACCCTGGGGACCGTTGTCCTCGGGCTCAAGGACGTAGGGACAGCCCAGCTTCACTGAGTCTCCCTTGGCCAAGTACAGCACCTCACGGCCTTTGCTGTTGATCCTCACAGCCAGGAGGAGAGCTGGGGGAGAGGGGGCAACATGTGAGCACCCTGACCTTGTGCCCCACAGCAGCCTGACCCCATAACCCACCCCATCCCAACCCTATGACCCGCAGCCCCCTGACCCCATAACCCACCCCATCCCAACCCAACCCTATAACCCACAGCCCCCTGACCCCATAACCAACCCCACCCCATCCCAACCCTGTGCCCCACAGCACCCTGACCCCATAACCCACCCCATCCCAACCCCATAGCCCACAGCACCCTGACCCTATACTCACCCCATCCCAACCCTACGACCCACAGCCCCCTGACCTTACACCCACCCCATCACCCCACAGCCCCCTGCCCCCCATCTCCCCGTCACCCAACCCCTGGCTCGTGGCTCCCATCCACAAACATCGCAGCGCCTTGCAGCGCCCATTGCTGTCACTCCGCTGGGGTCACCGCACTCAGTTTGGGGTGGCAGCCCGTCCCAGGGGTGCCCAGGGGGCAGCGTCCCCTCCATCCGTCCTCGGTGACATCGGGGCCACCTACCTGGCATGAGCCCCAGCAGCAGGAGCTGCCCGGCGCCGTGCCGTGCCATCGCGCTGCGGTGCCGGCGCGGAGGAGGAGGAGGAGGAGGAGGAGTGCAGGTGGATGAAGGCTGCGAGGCGACGAAGCATCGCCCGACACCAGCAGCCCTTTTACATGCTGGGTCCGGGCGCTCCTCCCTGTGGGGCGGATGCCTTTGGGATGACTGAGTGGCTCCGAGCTGTGCGTGAGCGAAGCCGCCCTGCTCCACTCCCTACCCGGTAATTAGGAGCTGCTGCACCATGTGGGGTTGTGTCCCATTGGAGTGGGGCTGGGGGTTGAAATATGGGGGCGCTGCTCCGTGGGCCCCGTTCCCAACAGTGGGGTGGGGATTTGGGGCTGTGGACCCCATTTGGGGGGGGCTGACCCCGTGTTAAGCAGCAGCAGCGGGGTCGGTGGGGAAGGATCCGGCCGGGATCCATCGGAAGGCTCTGAGATGGCGGTGCTGCCCCACGCAGCCCCAAAAGGGTTTTGGTGTCGGGCAGGGACACGACTGTAGGAGCTGAAAGGTGTGGTTGGAGCCTGGGCTTAATCCCCTAAAAATCCCTCCTCTGGTCCTGCCTCCTCAGCGTGGGGCACGGGATGCTGGCACCTCGAGGGGACGCTGAGCCCACCTGGGTGACATCGGGGGACGTGGTGGCAGCTGTGGGTCAGGGGAGGTGGGGATGGAGGTGGAACCTGCGGCCACCATGGATGGATTGGGGACAGGAAAGCTCCAGCAGCGGGTGATGGGGACAGGGGCGGCACAGCAGGACGGAAGGGCTGGGGACAGCGATGCCAGGCAGCGAGAAGGGGCGGCTCGGGGACGGGGACGCCTTGCAGGTGACAAAGGCCACACGGGGGGCCGCTCGACTCCCTGGACCCCCAGCAGCATCGCCCCACAGCCGCCCCAGTGCCCCATGGAGGCCGTGGCACAAGGGCAGCTCCGGTCAGTGCGCGGTGCCCCGCGGCGCAGCTCGGTGTTTTCCACCCCACCGCCCGATCCGGATGGGCAGCACCTCCCTGCAGGCCCCAAACGCTCCCCGAGGCCACAGCTGCTCCATTTACCGGCCCCACTCTGAGCTCATCGCCGTCCTTTAACCCTTGCTGGGAACAGAGGCACGTGTTGGGCAGCGTCTGTGATTTGGGGCCCTCGGGGCGGCGCGGAGGGGATGAAGCCCAGCGGGGTGCAGCCGTGGTTTGGTGGCTCTGCACCCCTCGTGCAGGATGGGGGGCACGGCACCGTGCTCTCGATTCATGGGAGCCGTGCAGGACGTGGAGCTGACAGGGATGGAGGTGACCATGAGGGATGCTGAGGGCCCCACAGAACCGGGGGGGACAAAAGCAGCCATGCGGCCTCGCGGCGCCCGGCTTGTCTGCCATTCAGGGACACCCAGAGAGAAAGCAGCCGTTTGGGGATGCGGGAGGAGGTGGGATTCCCCCCCCTGCCCACCCCACGCCGTCTCCCTGCCCCAGGCAGTCTCGCCTTTCCAGGCTCTCCTTATTTTCAGCTGCTCGGAGAATTAATCAGAGCCACTCCTACGGGATCCCAGCCCTCTGAAGCTGCCATTCCCTGTCCTGCTGCGGTTTGTTGTGGGTTTGTTTTTTTTTTTCCTGTCGTTCCGAGGTTTGCATCACTCTGTGGACGCTTTGCTTTGTCCCTTCACAAGGCCACAGGGCCTGGAGGTGACACGGCGCTGCTCACAGGGCGGGTTTGGCAGCGGGGCAGCGACAGCAGAGGGTTGGGTTCCGGCTGGGTCATGGGGACGAACCAGAGCCCCCAGGAACAGGGCAGGGGATGCTGCTGTCCCCAGCAAGCAGGGAGATGGGCAGGGGGCTGTTCCTAATGCTAGAGCCAACCCCTGTCCCACCCTGACCTCAACCCCGACCCCAATTCTAACCCTAACCCTACTCCGACCCAACCTTAACCATAACCTCAACCCCAGCCCTAACCATAACCCCAACCCAACCCTGCTCCTAACCATAACCTCAACCCCAACCCCAACCCCTAACCCTGACCTGGAGGTGGGAAGCAAGAGAAGGACAGGAGACACTGTCTGCTCCATGAACATCTCTGTTTGGAGGCAGCTCTGCTTAAGCGAGCCGAAACTCCCGAGCTGCTGCCTTCTGCCCCGTGTGGGGCTGAGCCCCACTGCGCGCCCACCGCTCCACCTGGGCACAGTACTTCTCCGGGATGCCAGCGGCTCTGCAGAGACAAAAACCATCAGATCCTGATGCCAGGCTGAGCACGCGGCCTTGGAGCGGGTTGTGTTTGGAGGAGACACCCAGCAGGGAGCCGGGATGGGGCCGAGGGCCGCGGGCACCACCTGAGCTCCTGGATCTTCTGCTGCTTGAGCTGGGCGATGCGCTGGCTGCGCTGCTCAGCCGCCTCCTGCAGCCTCCGGCTCTCCTCAAAGGCGGCCATGCGCTCCTGGGCCCTCAGCTGCTGCTGCTCCCTCATCTGACGCCGGATGGCATCGGCGTGGGCCGACTGCAGGGCCGCCCTGCGAGCCTCCTCTGCCTTTTCCTTCTCAATCTGCTTCTGCTGGGCCCTGAGAGGGGGGAGAAGACCTCCGAGGTCATCGGATCCAACTGCCAACCCGCCCTCGCCGCTCGTGGCGCCGCATAATGGGAGAAAGGTCCATTGAAATCGTCCTCCCCCCCTCCCTGATGTTGGAATGGCAGAATTGTGGAGCTGTCAGGATTGGAAAAAGGTCTCCAAGATCTTCCACCGCCAACCCATCCTCCCAGGTCGCCACGTTGACCCAACCCCCACTGTGTGCCAAAATGATCGCAGAAACGGGGAACCACGAAGGCTGGAGAAGACCTTTAAGGCCCCGAGGCCAACCCCCCCCATCCCCACCATTCCCACTAAAGCACGAGCCTAAAGAGAATCACAGAGCCACAAAGATCGAAGGCCTCCAAGACCCTCAAGCCCAACTTCTCCCCACCTCTCCCACTCACAGAACCACCAGGGCCGCAGAAGAGCCCCGGGACCCCCAAGGCCGACCCCAACCCGTCCGCATTGTTCACAACCACAAGGCTCATCTTTGACCCCCAAGACTCCCCCGAACCCAACGCCAACCCACACCCACAGCACCTCCTTTCTCAGCACCTCCGTGCACGGTGACCCCCTCCCCTCCCCGCGCCGTCGCACCGCGCTCAGCGCAGACCCCACCTCACCGCAGGATGCGTTCGAAGTCGCGCCGGTCCCTCATCACCTGCACAGCCATGCGCTGCTCCTTCTCTGCGATCTGCTGCCTCCGGCCCCGCCGCAGCTGCTCCTCCATCTCAGCCTTCCTGCGCGCCGCCTCCTTCTCCTTCCTCCTCCACTCCCGCTCGGCCGCTTCCTGGCTGCGTTTGGCCCTCAGTGCGTCCTGCCCACGGGGACAGAAGGGGATGGAGGTGAGGCTGGCAGGGATGGTTTTCATGGCCGTGCTCCTTGCTGCACAACGGTGGATCTGCCAGCCCTCACAGCACGGCCTGGATTGGAAGGGAGCTCAAGGGTCCCAAAGCTGCGACCCCACAGCGCCTGCAAAGCCACCGACCTGCCCACGTCTCACAGCAGCCCAGGCTGCCCAGGGCCCCATCCAGCCTGGCCTCCAAGCCCTCCAGGGATGGACGGGGCATCGCAGCCTCTCTGGGCAGCTGTTCAGCCCCTCACCGCTCTCCCAGCACACAACTTCCCTGAGCCCCAGCCTCCAGCTGCCCTCCCTCCGCTTCCAGCCCTTCCCTGCTCTCATCTCCCCTGCCCAAGAGCTGCCTCCCCTCCTGGCTGCAGGCTCCCTGCAGGCGCTGCAGGCTGCACTCAGCTCAGCCCCAGCTCCTCTTCTCCATGCTGAACGAGCCCAGCTCCCTCAGCCTGGCTTTGCAGGGAGCTGCTGCAGCCCCTGCTCAGCCCTGCGGCTCCTCTGGCTCCTCTCCCACAGCTCCCTGTCTTGTCTGGGAACCCCCAGCCCTGGACGCAGTGCTGCAGACGGGGCCTCAGAGAGCAGAGCACAGAGGGACGATCGCCTCCCTGTCCCTGCTGCCCCCCCTCTGCTGATGGAGCCCAGGATCCCGTTTGCTTTCCCAGCTGCAGGAGCTCACCCACCCGCTCTGCCTGCTGGTCGAGGGCCTTCTCCTGCATGGCCCTGAGCCGTGCCACCTCCTTCTCCTTCTCCCGACGGATTCTTTCCTGCTCAGCTTCCAGCTCTGCCTCCTGTTCCTACGTGGGACAGAGTTTGGTGGCAGCTCCCTGCACCCCATCGCCCCCCCGTGCTGCTGTGCTCAGCTCAGTACCATTTTCTGCCTCTGGTACTCGAGCACCCGCTCATCCTCCATCTTCTCCTTCTGCAGCTGCTCCTCCTTGCACCTCTGGTTCTCGTCGTTGATGCGTTTAATCTCAGCCTGGATTTTCTTCTGCTGCTCCTTCCTCTGCTCCAACTCCTGAAGCACAGAGCAGAGGCTCTGCAGTGCTCGCTCCATGGGGGCTCAGAGCCACTTTGGAAGAAGGCTCAGCCTCCCCAAGAGACCACAGCCTTCGTTCTGCACCGAGGCCGACCCCCCCCGGCGCGGGGTCACACTTCCAAGAGGTGAAAATCTGCCTTCATCATCATCATCATCATCATCATTCTGCTCCCCAGCAGCCCCCTGGTTCCTGCCCAGCTCACCTTCTGCTCCTCCACCTTCAGCTGTTCCAGGTACCGAAGCATTTCCTGGCTCTCCTGGTCCTTCTGCTCAGCTCTCAGCGCCCGCTCCTCCGCGTTCTTCTCGATCTGCTTCACCAGCTCCTGTCTGCCTCTGGGAAGAACCACAGGATCACGGAATGCTTGGGTCAGGAGGGACCTCCAAGACCACGGAACCGCAGGATCTCAGCACGGCTGGGTCGGAGCTCAGCCCCTCCGTGTCACTGATCAGAAGAGCTTTGGATCCAGACAGACCCCCGGGGGGCTCCGTTCATCACCACCCCCCTCTGGACGTAGAGCCGCTGCCCACGGCCCCCCAGCTGCGTCCATAAATCCTTTATCTGCCCCTCAATCCCGTCTCTCCAAAAAGCCGCTCACTGCATCAGCTCCCGCTTCCTCCTGCCTTCCAGCTCCTCCTGCATCTCGTCGGCCTTCTGCCTCTCCACCTCCATCATCCTGGCCAGGCGTTTCTCCTCCTCCTCCAGCTCTCTGGCTATCTGCTGCTTCTCCAGGATCTGCGTGTCGCGGATCATGTGGCACCTCACACCCAGGAGCAGCTGTGGGGACAAGGGGCGTCCTGGGCTCGGCGGATGGGGACAGAGAGCAGGAGGTGGAAAAGGGAAGGAGAAGACGACTGAGCAGCAGCAGGCAGCGCTCACAGCTCATCCTCAGCGCCCTGTGGGGCCCGGGGCACCTCGTGCCACCTCTCCCCTTTCATTCTGCGACGCTGGGGAGGAGGACGGGACCCCCTGGCCTCACCTCACTGAACTCCTTGATCTCATCCTCCTGCTCCATGCGCATCCTGTTCGCCCGCTGCAGGAGGTGCTGGGCGCGTTCCTTCGCCTCCTCCTCCAGCTCGCTCTGCTTGCTCTGCTGCAGGAGGCTTTGTCGCTTTGCTGCTGCCTTCCGCTCGTTCATGGCCTCCTAAGGGGACAGGGGGAGAGCTGAGCCACCAACCTGCAGCCCTGGGCCACCATCCATCATCCTGGGCCACCATCCATCATCCTGGGCCACCAACCTGCGCTGCTGGGTCACCAGGCTGAACCCTGAGCCACCATCCCATACCCTGGGCCACCATCCTGACCCCTGGTTCACCACCCTCCACCTTCTGGGCCACCATCCTGCATCCCTTGTACCCCATGCTCTCATCCTGAACCCTGCACCACCATCCTTCACCCTTGGGCCACCACCCTGCATAACCCTTGGGCTCCCACCCCGCACCCCCCGGGCCAAAACCCCTCTCCTTTCTAAAGGAGACGCCCCACAGAGGTGCACTGGGGAGCTGTGGGGTGCAGCCCACGCAGCACTGCAAACTTTGGGACCCCCCACAGCCCCTCCTGGGCTCAGAGGGTCGGAGAGATGCAGGGTTTGAAGGCGGGCACCGCAATCCAGGGGGGTGCAGGGTGCTTGTCCCACCCTATGGGTGCCCCCAAGGCATGAAGGGCGGGCAGGGGGGGTGCCTACGAGCTCTGCCTCCCTCTGTGCTTTCAGGGCTGCCAGCTCAGCTGCACGCTGCTCCTTGCTCTGCACTCGGGACGACTCCTGGATGCGCTGGAAGTCCTGCAGGCCGATGATGAGGGCCGGTGTCGGCTTCTCTGAGGGGATGCTGCGAGAGGAGGGCGCACAGCAGAGCAGTCAGTGCTGCTGGGGGTCCTTCGCCCCCCTCCCAGCTCACCCCCAAACCCTCCTGTTGTGCTGATGGCACTGCGGTGCCACCTCAACGCTGTGACGTCCCTGTCCTGAGCAGAGAGGGACGGCAGCTGGGCGACGGGGGGAACCCACAGAACCCCACACGCAGCACCCAAAGAGCTTGGGGCCGAGCCAGCCCCACGGCTGCCACTGGGGGGGATGGAAGTGAGCCGAGCTGCGCCCCCCCCTGAGCTTCAAGCCCAGAGATCCAGGGCTGCAGCACTGCTGGATGGAATGAGTTCGGTGTGGGGGGAGGACGCAGCTCTGCCCCACGGTGACTCAGCCTCGGAGGAAACCACCTCAGTGCCCCCATTTCCCCACGTGTCAAAAATGTGGGTAATGACACAGGGCTGGGTTTGGTTGCGTTTTGTTTTTTATTTATTTCCAGGTGAGTTGTGAGGAGTTTTAATTACTGGCAGCGTTGCTCAGCCGCAGCACGGCGACGCGTGCGGTGCATTAACCAAACTCACGGGGAGCTTTGAAGGCTCTGGGGACTAAGGATGCAGTCACTGTCATTATGTGTCACCTTTTCATCCACCCTTGGGACAGATACCTGCATAATAAGTGGCCCAGCATCACAGCATCGGATTCCAGGACGCTTTAAAGAATGGGCAGTGGCACCGACGGCCCTAATCAACGGTGTGACGCAGCGACCGCAGCCCTGAGCTGTCTGTGTTTGGGTGCCCAACCTGCACCCCGATTTTTAGGAATGGAAAAGGAACCCAAACGCTTCCAGGTGGAGCCACGTGGGGGGAAACGTGGGCAGCGGGCCCAAAACCTGGGGCTCCGAGCGCGGCAGCCTCAGCCCAGCCTGAAACCAAAGGGCTGCGGTGCGTCCTTGTGGGGTGGAAGCAGGGAGAGGTGAAGCGAGGGGGGGGAAAAAAGAAAGGGGGGGGGGTGGGGGAAGGTCAAAATGAGGCTCCGTGGGGTTCGCCCGGGATAATGGCACAAAACCCCTGCGGGTTTTTAATGAGGGGATGTAATTAGAGCCGGGTTCCGACTGCTCGACCTCGTGGACAAACAGCCGCGCGCCCAGGGAGGGGGGAATCGCTGCTGCCTGGGGGTGTTTGGCACCTGGGGGGGGGACGGGGGGGTTTTTGGGGGGGGGGTAGAGGGGGTTTGGGGGGTTTGGGGGGGGTTTGGGGGCCTTGGGGGGGGCGCGACTCACACGAGGCTGCGGATGAGGCCGTTGCCGAGCAGTCGGATGGTTTCGGGGCGGTGCTGAGCGCCGGGCGCTGATTTTGGAGAGCTGCGCGCATCCCGTAGGAGCACAATGGGGCCGTGAGACTGTAAGGAAAAACCCCAAAGCGGGGGGGAACCGATGCAAAAACCCCGACGCGGCGCCGTGAGACCGCAGCAGTAAAACAGAGGGGGGGGAAGGGGCTGAAATCCCCCCCAAAATGCCCCCAAATCTCAGGAAACCCCACACCGGGTCCCGCTCCGCCTCCTCCCGCTTCTCCCGGCGCAGCAGCGCCGCCGAGGTCCCCGCGCTCGAGGTGACATCGCCATCTAGCGAAGCCATGCTCTCTATGGGGCAGATCCCCAGCCCGCACCCCCCCCCCCCCCCAATTCCGTGCGCTTGGAGGTGGGGCTGTTTGTTCCACCGCCTCCTCGGGGAGGGATGTGAGGCCACAGCTGGGTTAAAAGGGACCCTAAAGATCCCAGAGCCACGGGATCGCAGCGCGGCTGGGGCGGAAGGGACCCCAAATATCACAGAGCCGTGGGATCCCGATACAGCTGGGTTGGGAGGGACCCCAAATCCCCCCCTTGCCATGGGCTGCGTGCTTCCCATCAGCTCAGGTTGCCCACAGCCCCTCCACGGCCTCCGGCTCCAAGGCTGGGGCGCCCACAGCTCTGTGAGGAACTCTCTGAATACTGAATTTCCTCCTAAAATCTGTGGGTCCAGAAGCAGCCCTGTGCCCAACCCCACACCCCGCAGTGGGGCTCAACCCCATGGGCCGGGCTGGGCAGTTCGGTGCCCTCAGGGTTCATTTCTCATCCATCACCGTTATCAGCTGCGTGTTTAATGACAGGGCTGGGCTGCACAGCCAGCAGATAACGGCTGCCTTCAGCACCGCCAGCCTCAGAGCCTGGAGAACGGGATGGGATCCGCCTCCAAGAACCCAATTAATGATTGTAGGAATGTTGTCAGGCTGTGACAACTGCATGGAGCAGCTGCTGGGGATGGAGCCCAGAGCTGAGGCAGCCGTTCTGACGTCGTCTTTCCTTCCTCTCCTTGAAAAGAGCGATTTCTTGCTGCTGTTTTTTGGCAGGAGATCCGGCTTGCAGTGCTGA